TGTTACCACATGCGCAAACTGCATTGTAATGCACCTCATTAATATGCAAACCAAGTGCAATTAAGGTCACTAACATGGCCGCTATAGTTGCAAATAATTGTGAAACTTTTATGCAAACTGTTTAAAAAATGTTTTAAGTAGGTAACATTAAACACTTTGTAATATTAAATAAATAATATAATATAAATGACCCGCACTAGGGAGAGGAATAAATGTAGGCCATACAAATATTTCTCCCGGCCCGGGAATCGAACCGAAACCTCTGCGCAGCAGTCCAGCATGGTAACCGATTGACCACGGAGGCGCTTAAATTGATTGACTGTAATGAATTTATGATTCCTGAATGTTATTGAAGCCGTAATAACCTAATGGTTCGACCTACCGGCTCTCTAGCACAGGTTGTGGATTCGCATCCAGTCTGGCACCTTTGAGTGAAGGAAAACGTCGTCATGAAACCTGCTCGTCGAAGAAGGTTCACAACCCTCGGAAAACGTGTGACGTGCCCAACCCGCCTTGGGCCAGCGTGGTGGACTAAGGCCTAAACCCTCGCCTGAGAGGAGACTCGTGTCCAGCAGTCGGACGTATAAATGGGTTGATGTTGTTTATAATTTTTTACTACCATGATATAGATATAGCTATAACTTACTTTTGTGAAATTACTACACTACAGTTTTAATACTAATCAATAACCACAATGTTCATTATAATCAATTTTAAATTTAAGTTCTAGTCTAACATCACATTGAGACTCTATTTATCACATTTTTGTAGATAATAAATGACGGGACGAACAAGTCGTGCGCCTGGTGTTAAGAGTCACACCTGTACTTAGCTGTTGAGAACAACCTAGAGCTTTAAATCCTAAGATCTGAGTGGCAAGGTGAAATTATTTAGCAATAAAACGTCCGTCTTACTCAGTAGCTAGTTTATTACTGCTTACCCACAGTATTACACACAAAATATATGTCTCAATATAGTACACATGGCCACTGCGCCCGTCACCTTGAGACATAAGTTGCTACGTCTCATGCATTTGTAATTACACCAACGTCCGTACTCTTCGAAATCGGAACACAGTAAAGCTAACATCACCGATTGGCGTTAGAAATAGGCAAAGTGACAGTTCCTCCCTGGACGAACTCTTTGACGAGGAGTTCTACCGCTATCTGTTGAAGATAGCATGATTTGCTTTATTATTTATATCACAAAATGTAGACTGAGAATCCGCTACACTTAAAATAACCCCTACACTTTTACGACTGCCCAAGCCCGAAATGGACTGATCCATTACTGGTCATAGTTAAATGTGGGCGTTTAAACGAAGAGCATTTAAAAAAGTTTGCTTTTTAAAATAAGCGCATAAGCACGCTTTTCATTTTAAGCGTAAGCGTTGGTCACTGGTCATATAAACTCGATAGATAGATACTCGATAATTTCATTTTTTACAACGTGCCTAAGTTTCAAGTAGCGCCATCTATGTTTCCTAAACAAATTAATTCAACATAACCTTGCAAGCTTTTCTAAACATAAAAACGACTTTTTAAGGTTAAGTGTAAAGTGCTTTTACAAGCACGCTTTTTAAACAAACGTGTTAACGTTAAAAAAGTAAGCAGTTTTTTCCATTTCAACGGTTAACTACAAAAGTTAAACAACTTATGCTTTTAAACGCCAATAAATATAATAATTTTATGTCATAAATAAAAATATAACTCGTTTTTTACAAAAAAACTTACTTATCTTAAAACTTTTAGTGGTCTACTCTTGTGTTTCGCTATCAACACAACAACATTGCAAGCTTTTTTTAACATAAAAGTCTATGCCCTTGAACGTTTTCTAAACGATTTTGTTAGCTTCAAACTAAAAAGCGTTTAAGTGAAAAGCACGCTTTTTTTAAAAAAGCATAACGTTTAAAAAATTAATCAGTTTTCCCATCTCTAGTCATAGTCACAGCTTTACGGGTAGATTGCCGATCTTAGTCAAGTTTAATTTCTGTGTAATTTGAGCACACTAAATCTACCAACTTACAATAATAGTTGGTTTTGGAATGTTAATTTAAAAGGCCTATACCTGATGCGGGTGCTTGATCCAACCTCCCATTTAGAGATTGTATTAAAGTTTCATATCGGTCAGAAGGAAATTTCATTATTTTGTACCTGAGACCTCCGACCGCTCGGCCTCCTTTCGGTTATCCCAAATAAGCCCTCTTCGCGGCACGATAATGTCCCATTGTCTCCACGTGTCCGAGCCAGCGGAGTCTCGTAGCTTTAGATCCTCCCACAATATTGGGCCCGAACATCAGATCCTTAATCTCAAGATTCTTCCTTGCCCTGCAGTAACATTTTTCTTTCCGCCACTAACAACTTATTTTCCCGTTTCAAGGTCAGCGTCCAAGCTTCGCAACCGTAGATCAAAATCGGTCTATAAACATAGGGCGCACTATAAGTTTCCGGAACTGGCAACTTACAAAAACAATATTTACAAAGTAATTACAACATTTGAAAATGGAATTCTTTGTCTGTAGAATACAGTATATTTCATCTGACTGTCACTTGTTTTTACATTGTGGCGTAATTTTAGAAATTGGTTGTCTACATCACCATGGATATAACTCATGAAAATTTTCGTAGTATGATTTTCTACGACTTCAAGTGTAATTAAACTGCTAAGCGGAGCTTCGCTCGGCTTCAAACTGCTTTTGGCGATGAAAAACCATGCAAGACGACTATTTATAGCTGGTTTTACAAAATTCAAACGCGGTGAATCTCAGTGACGAATTTCGTGATGGTCGCACGTCCACTGCTGTGAACAACAAAAACATCGATGCTGTGCGCCGTATGATCAAAACAGACAGGCTTGTGACATACCATGAGATTCGGGTATCTTTAGGCATAGGCATGAGTCAAATACAATCAATACTACACAAACATTTGGGTGTGAAAAAGCTGTGCTCTCGGTGGATCCCATACAATTTGACTGAAGCTCAAAAAATGGATCGCGTCTCTTGGTGCAATGCCATGTTTACAAGATTCAACGAAGGGGCGTCAAATTTGATATCGGACGTAGTAACAGGTGACGAAACATGGATTTATAGTTACGATCCCAAAACAAAGCAGCAATCGAGCGTATGGGGTTTCGAGTTAAGCCGAAACCAACCAAAGTGCTTCTTTTTTTAATAAAACTGGACACGTGGCTACTGTTGCTTTAGAATTTGGAATCGTTGTACCGTGAATAGTGATACGGTACCATACGACCATTTGTTTGCCGGAAGTTATTGACAAACTAAGTAAAAATAACCGTAAATACCGTATCATCTTGCACCACGATAATGCCAGTTCTCACACGGCCAGATAGACAAATGAATTTTTGAAAGTGAACAACGTTGACCTTATGTGCCATCCCGCGTACAGTCCCGACCTTGAGACTTTTATTTATTTCCAAAAATTAAGAACCATTTACTCGGTCAACGATTTTCATCACCTGAAGAGGCTGTCGAAGTGTATGAAAAATATGTTTCAGAGATTGTCCCGGAGAAGTGGCATAAATGTTTTCAAAATTGGTTCATTCATATGAAAAAGTGCATTAACGCTAACGGAGAATATTTTCACAAGCAATACATTCATTTCTGATCATTTATAGTATTTTTTTCTTACTCATTACGGAAACTTATAGTGCGCCTCACGTACAGTTTTGTAAACACGAGTTTTGGTTTTTTGCGTATGAGCTTGGACGCCAGAACCCTGTGAAGAGCAACCGTGCACCTGAGGGCGTTCTGAATCCGGAAATTTCTGTTACTTTAAGTTTAATGTGAAAACTAACTCCGACATAATATATAAGGCATTATTTAAGTGAATCATATTTATTATTACAGGAAGACATGGTATGCCTATCATGCACGGCGACCGGCGAGCGCGTATGCCTAGCGGCTGAAGGCTTCGGCAACCGACACTGCTTCCTCGAGAACATCGCTGATAAGAACATACCACCAGACTTATCACAATGCGTCTTTGTTATTGAACAGGTATGTACTTTTCCTTTCTCTGACTAGAGTTACCATTCCGAAATTTTCAAATATAGTGTAGTCCGGACGAAAAACTTGACATTTGCAAGAAAGTCTGGACTTTTTTAGCAACAAAATAAATTCCGAAATCTCTCTCACGCGGCAACAGATAAGAACAAGCGCCCGTGCAACAAAGTTTTGAACAAAGAATTGCGATGTGTATATTTTACTTTTTGTACCGAAACTGAAAAATCCGGACTGAATCCGGACCAAAGGTCAAAAAGTCAGGCAAATCTGGACTGACGGCATCCTACATCTGAGAAAATATCATACTTCGACACGGCTGAACACAGATACTCAGTTATATTAATACGGTCCATTAGTTGCACTTCTCTACTAAAAGCTTTCATATTTCGTTACACGGGTATGTATTTTCGTTTTAGTATTTTATTAACATCTTCGGATAGAATGTCATACATATTTCGACACAGCTGCACATAGTTATCGCGTTTTAGTATGACGGTCCATTAATCGCTGCTCTCTTAAAGCAAACTTTATTGATATAAAATAATAATCATAACAATTAATACAAGTATTTGAGGGCTTGGGGAAATGAAGCATGGAAATCTGATCAGGGAATCAAGACCCAGATAGAAATTGCTCGAGCCTTTTTTAACAAAATGAGGAAAGTTCTGTGCTGTCTTAAACTGAACATATAGCTACGAGTCAGGCTACTTTAATGTTATATGTTAATGTGGGCCTTGAAAGAAGACACTGCAAGACGCCTGCAGGAATTTGAAATGTGGTGCTACCGTCGCATGTTGCGCATTGGTTGGACACAGAGGGTCAGGAAGAAATTGTGGCTGCGGTACATCCGGGAGTGGATCGGCATTACCTCCGTCGAACAGCTGTTCCGATTGATGGTGACAAATACAGGAAGGTGACGACCAACCTTCAGTATTGAAGAGGCACTCTAAGAAGAAAATGAATTCATACTAATTTCGTATTTATCTGCCTATTTTACAAATACTCGACCTTGATTTATGCTACCGTGTTTTTAAGCTTTCGCGATTGATACACACAGGAAATGAAACTACTTTTTCAGATCTGAATCACGTACATTTGTTTTTCCAAACAATCACAGCTGACTGACCATGGCAAGTTTACATTAATTTCAGACATGACTATTTGGTGACTAATACCATGCGGCCCTGACTACGGGACCTGTAAAAAAGTCCGTCTCGTTTGTTTGTTTGAAAAAACAAATAAGCGCGATTTAGAAGCAAGAAATTTTTTTTTTTCGTTAGTAATCGTAAAAATCTAAGAACTTAATAAAAAAAATAACTTCACTCGGATAACTTTCAAAGTTTAAGGGCGCTTTCAAATTAGACGCTTATAAAAGCGCTGGAGACGCGCCACTGAGGTACTGAAGCCGCACCACTACTAATTTTCATACAATACTTAAGAGTCTATACGACCTCAGTTTTAATTCAAATTTTTCCCGTACTAACGAGGTTCATTTTGCTTAGATCGAACGCCAGGCACACTGGCGTTATTTCAGAATCAATTTTTTTACAAAAGAAATTAAAGCCATTTGAAAAATGTATATCGTATAGTATACATATTTTATTTAGTTCAGTTGATATAAAAAAAAAAGGTATATTGAAAGTATTGAATACAGCTGTTTTCGATGTAATTTTCTTTTTCTATCGTGAAAATATTTAGGAATTGTGTTTTCACGCCGTATAGTAATCAGTGTAGGTCTATCCTCAATTTTACTATATATTTTTTCTAATGTGTTTGTGTCAACAGTTTCACTGTTATATTATGCGGAATTAACCAAGGCCATTTGAGGTAGTATAGACACATAAGAGCTCAGTTGCAGAGCTACTGTCGTGATGCTCGCGCCACTTTAGCAGACACAATTAGTGTACTAACTAAACTTTGCTTATAATTCGACGCCTCGTACGTAAAGTATCGTATGTCGAAATAGCCAAGTTTACAAGGAAGCGTTTTAAAGTTCTGTATTCACTGTAATGAACATAACACGTGACTTTAGCAGTTCTCAGTTTTATTCGGCAAAGCTTGTTACTCACATAGAGTATTATGAAATCCTATATATCGGTTGGATGATCTATGATGATCTATTAGATGATCACTCTTTCATTCAGAACTTTAAAACGCTCCGCTGTAAACTTGGCAATTTCGACATACGGTACTTTACGTAGGAGGGGTCGATATATGTTATTAAATTCTTATGTTACATATATCGAGGTGAGATATTTTCTTCAAATTGAAATGGGACCACTATCGAGGTACACCCTTTCCAACAAAAAAAGAATTAAAGAAATCGGTTCACAAAAGCCGGAGTAATTACGTAACAAAAAAATAACAAAAAAATATACGCGATTTAAATCCGGAAAAATAGTTTCATTTCCTATGTGTATCATTTCATATATATCTCGAATTGAGAACCTTTTCCTTTTTTAAAGTCCGTTAAATAGTCGATTAAAAAGCAAGGAGTTCACAACAATAGCTAAGAACCATCCAGATTAAATTAACCTTCAGATAAAAAACCCTTTTGAGATCAGTCTCTCCATTTGAGAGCTACTTTGCTACAGACGTACAACAGGTACAAAGACTAGGCTTCAGACTTGTAACTTCCTTCCTTTGCGTGAGGTTAAAAATAACAAGTTACGTTGCCTTTAATGTTTTGTTGCCTGGTAGTACCGTTCATGCAAAAATCGTCATTATTCCGTCTTGTTTGGAATGTAAATTATTTATTTCTTTTTATGCTCGTTTTGATGTTTTATTCAAAACTGTCCATTTTGCAAAAAATCTGTATGCAATGTATTTATGATATATATTATATATTATTAGACAATATCACATACGTTGCACTGATCCCAATGTAGCTAAAGCATTTGTGTTATGGAAATAGGAAACAATGCTGTAGGTACCACAAACACCCAGACCCGAGAATTATCTCGTCGTTGTTTCCGGGTCAGTGTAGAAAAGTTACTTTTCTAAGTCAGTGGTAGTCGAGTAAGTGGAGGACTTACACACGGAAAATACATCCGGAAATAAAGGGGCCTTATTTTCAAGTGTATGAAGACATTTTCAGCACGTTGTGGTACCAATTGTTTCTGAATGCAATAATTGTAATATAAATCGTATGATATTGAATATGGTCTTTATTGAAATCGAATGGGATAATATTATTTGGTCCTCAAAGATAGATCTATTGTGAATGTGCACTTTTTTAAATAAACAATATTTTGATTAATTGTTCCATCTATATTAGTTGATCTACGGATAAATTATAAAAGATATTCAAGGTATTATATTTAAGCGTACTAAATTAATATTTGGTATTCAAAATCATTTTTGATCCTCTTTTTTATTATTGATCTTTTCTTTTACCGATGATGACATCTATAACCAGTATATATTTTGATATTGATCTCATATAAATCTTGGTTGCGCCCTACATTGAATAGGTTAGGTTAGGTAAGCATGTGAAAAAGTAACACGAGCTGAGCGAGCGAAACAAGTGTGCCACGGCAGCGGCCGGCGAGTACCAAAAGCCTATTTAACATGCCTTTTCGAAGATGTTTTCAGGTCAAACTATATTATAATTAATATACAAATATATTCAATATTTGCTTAGTTTAAAAAAATAAGTATCTAAATTTTATTTTTAACGCTTATTTGTCTTAGTTTCTTAGTTTTGAGGCCCAACATAAAACTATCAAAGTTAATTTGTACAAATCAAATATTTTTTTCGTAACTCAGAAAAGCCTAAAATATCCATCAATTTAATTTATTTTATGTCTCAAAGAAACGTGTCATTATCAAAATGACCGTTTAGATTTTTTTTGCTAGCGGCTTTTGCAAATTTAAAATTATCATTTAATTACATGCCAAATCGAATTTATCTTAATTTTAACAAATTGTCTTTTGGATGTAACAGTGGTGATTTTGTTACTCTAATGTTTTTCTTTGTTTTCTTCCAGGCGTTGTCAGTGAGAGCTCTACAGGAGTTAGTCACGGCAGCCGGCTCAGAGACAGTAAGTTCGATATTATATAGCAAACTGTTACAGTTAATATAATTTGAGTTTCACTTACAAACACCTCCAATCTGTATCACCTTTAAGTTCTCTATAATTTTCTTTATAACTTTAAACGTAATCAGGAATATAAGGACTTTGTTTACATTTTTGCCTTTTAATAGTGGTTCCTAAAAATATATGTTTTATATGTATACAGTGTTATTTGTAACTATTTTGCTAACCTCATAAACAACAACTTTTGTTCCATGATTTTTTATTATTCATCAGATTTTTCTTTCGTACATAAATATTTAAATAGATCGCTCTAAATGGTGATAACTCTGTTCGGTAACAAAAGAAAGTGCTAGCGTAAATACCAGTCCGATGCAAAACGCAGGAGCGCGTGTGGGTGTCGTCGGGGAGAACGCTTGCACGTTTGAATTTACTACTTTACTACTAAATGGAAATGAAGAGACCAGGGAAAGAATGATCATAGTCTCTTAGAAGACGTTTTGAGGTAATACCGCCACCCAGTTCGGTAAACGCAGAGCGTACTTTACCTTAATCAGAAAAATTCAATTTTGAAACCATCTAATAAGGTTCAATGTCCTTAAAAATTAGCTTTCACTTTTAGTCATAAAAATGCTTGCGACTTAATGGTAGAAAAGTTAAAAATTATTTGTTAATGTTTTTTAGTTAAAATGGATTACGTAGCTTTACACTTAGAATAATAACGCATAGAATGATAGTTTCATATCAAACGAACTGTCACAAGTGAGGCAAAAATCAAATTCATGTAGGCTAGTTTTAGTAGTAGGTTAATTTTCGGTTTTAGTGAATATTTATATAAAAATACAAGTTGAAACGCGTTACTTCCTTGTGGAATGTGATGTTAGTATCTATTTTATGTTTGTCTGACGTATTTTTACACTCATTTACCGCACATTTCGTCATTTTTAGCTAAAATTCTTGATCTGTTCGCGGTGCAAGTTGACCTTGAGCACTGACGGCCCGCCCGCTCGTGTAGGCCCTTTGGGAGCGCTTCAATTTGCCTCACTTAGCGTGTGCGGACTAGGTTTCTATGCGTTATTATTCTAAGGCGTTACATGCATTTATGTCAGCATTGACTATATTTCAGGTAGTATTTGTCTGTGTCTTTTTCACCGATATTTAAAAGTTCTTCAAATTAAAAGTTTTTTTTTTCCTAAAATTGTGCTCAAGTGACTTTGACCATTCTTTCTCTGGAGTCTTGAAATGTAAAAAGTGTCGTATAGTGCACTAAAAATTTAAAAGTTTATTTTTGGTAAATTATATTATTATATAATTATATTACGTTTTGTAAAAAGTCACGGAACATTTTTATAAAAAAAAAAGACCCCAAAACCTCGTGGAATTAAATTATATGACAATTTTTATTGAAATCGGTTACCAGAATATGCGCGAAACCGGATTCGTCCCCTAGTTTGCCACCCTTAAAGTTGGAATATTTTCTTTCAAATTACAATGAGACCAATACTCAGGTACCCTCTTTTCAACAAAAACAGAATCATCGAAATCGGTTCACAAATGGCGTGACATACGTACAAAAAGAAATACAGTTGAATTGAGAACCTCCTTTTTTCGACATCGGTAACAAATTAGTTGTTCATGATGTTAGCAATATAGCCTTGCGAACTTGCTTGTATTTTACAAATAACTCTGTATAAAACAGACACACGCTTGGCCACAATCTCACCAGATGTTAAGTGACCAACGATGACTCGCATTTGTAGTCTGTAGCCTTGAATAGAAACACAGATGCTGGTAATGTATCTCGTTCCTTTGCCAAGAAGAAATTAACCTCACGTCTCTTATATTTCTGGTTATAATTTATAAAACGCCGAAATATCGTCATTTTTAACACGAATGGATTTTACATAAAATTATGATGAAAATAAATTATTCACATAGTTTTTAGGGCCTCACTCCTTATCGACACAGGATTTATATTTATTATCTTTTTTTATTATTATACTAAGTGGCAGGACAGGACTCGTACGCCTGGTAGTAACGTACACGCCTGTCCATAACAGCTGCAGTGCTACTCTGAGCTTTAAATCGCAAAGATCTGCTATTTGCTAGCTTACCATCAGGCGCACGACTTGTTCGTCCCGTCACTTGATAATATAAAAAAAATATTCAGCAATCGTGCGCGATTGAGCGCGCGTGTAAAGACGTTGGAAGGAAAAGGGAAAGACACACACGCCAGTTTCGCGCGGTCTATCCTACGCTATTATATACAAAAACGAACACGAGCAATCGCGCACGATTGCGCGTCAATGCTTCCCCGTGCGCAATTCCATACGTTCCTGATCACAAGTGACAGTTGTAAAGGGGGCTAATCACCATGCATATCTTAATTTTTATCTCGTTTAATTCAGCAATTTAGTTTAAAATTAAACTTAATTTTGATAAAATAAAACTAGCTAAAAATAATCACTTAAATTGTAAGTAAAGACCTTGGAAAGAAACATCAAATAATTCAACGTACCATCGACTCGCCTTTGAAGAGCAGAATACCAAAAATATGCAATGGCAGTTGAATAGGTTGCTCGATATCTGGCCACGGACAAGCCACTACTCTTAACTTTTAACAGAATACCTAACGTACTACATACGGCCATTGACACTCTATCACATAGACACAATAGATGATTTAAAATTACCATCTCGAATTCAAATTTGTCCCGTATTAATGCGGTTCATTTTGCTTGGATCGAGCGGCATTGACATAGGCTTTATTTCAGAACTTATTTTTTGACAAACGGAATTAAAGCCATTTGAAACATATATATCGTATGGTGTTCTGTTTAATCCAGTTGATACATTGACTTACAATTATATGGACGTCGGGTCCGCGCTAAAAAGTGTCCGAACTTATAGGGCGTTAAAATCGTATACAGAGCGTCATTCACGCTTTAAATAAATAACGCACACACTCAACATAGCCCCGCACTAGGGAAACCCTGTGTCGCGGGTGCCATGGACACACACATAGACAACCACAAATTACACCCAAACTCACGAGAGAAATAAATGTAAGCCATACAAACATTTCTCCCGGCCCGGGAATCGAACCTGGGACCTCTGCGTGGCAGTCCGGCATGGTAACCGTTCGGCCACGGAGGTAGTTACTTTAGTCTTACGCTTTAGTCTTCGTTTGTTCGACTGACAGCGAAGCAAGCAAAATTAGACAGTACTGCGATGACATTACAATTTAAATTCAACGTTTTAGCTTTTTCATATTCCTTTAAATGTCACTACGTTTACTTTTTTTGGTTGACTTTTGACATTTTTTTCGTGGTTTTTGTATTAGACCCGTCGTCCATTTATTTGTAAGTCAATGAGTTGATATTAAAAAAATCATTCGTATATGTAAAGTACTTGTTGAATACAGCGGTTTTCTTGTAAAATTTCGAGGTAAGTTTGTGTTTTTCTTCTATTGTGAAAATTTTTAGAAATCGTGTTTTCACACTGTATAGCGATCAGTATATATTCTCAATTTTACTATACATTTTTTTAAAAGTGATTGATTCAAAACTTTCACATTTAAGGAGTCTTTTTCGCTTTCATTACAAAAGCGTGAAGCATGATCAGGCGGCTCAGTAATTTTCAGTTTCTTGTTATAAATTATATTGTGAATAATAAATTTTCGTCACAATTGTAAATTACGTCCATTAATGTTGTAAGGGGCGATATGTTCTTATAGTTAATGTCCTTAAAGATTTCAAATGGCAAATCTAGCATTCTATATACACGTACTGTATTTTATATGTGTTTAACAGTATTGTCACCCTTATTTGTGAATAATATTTATGTACCCTTTCACATATCTATTTTCGTCTTTCAAATTTTACAGGGCAAAGAAAATTTAGTGAGTATTGTTTCGAGTTGGTAAAAAACGCATGCTAAATTTCATTATACCATTTTGTTGTCTAATTGGCATTCGAAAATTTGAACTCACGCGCATATTTTATGTTACTATTTATTTGTTAATGTTGTACATGATAACTAACATTTATTTATGTAGATTTGTTTTT